TGGCGGGCCTCAACTTCCACATGATCTCTGCATCAGTGATTTGGCTTCCAAACATCTGTCCTTGCAAGCCCGCACCTTCAGCGACAAGACTCATGCCAGAGAACCTGACATTTCAAGTCTCAAGCTCGGAAGGAAGATAGTCTTTGAACATTTTGGTTGTGGCCGTTCAGCATCACCTCCAGCCCGAGATCAGTAGGATTCTGAGGTCTTCAGGCGTACAAGGTGTACGCAGTTACAGGGGAGCGTAGGGTCAATGAGCTGGAGTGTTCTGGAAGCAGATTTACTGAGATCCGTTCCATGACGTTCAGAGAGCTTCCGTGAGCCTCGCTCTGCCCAGCAACCACGTGCAGGCGGCCTGCATGCGTACGAGCACATCAGCATCTCCAACAGCAGCATCGAGATCACAAACTCTTCGTCAATCGAAGATGGAGGCGTGAGTGCAGAGCTGTGCGCAGAGAAACATTTGCTTCGGTCCCTATCCGAAAGTGCTTGGAGCAGTGTCGATGTCGCGGATTTTTCCGCGAAATATAGCGGAAGCGCGAGGGCGGAGCCGCAAGAAATTCATGTTTCAGTTCGTATCATTCCCTATCCGAAAGTGTCAGAATTGTTGGGCCTTCACTAGGCGTCGGCTTGTGACGCTGCAAGACCTTTCATAAAGCGCCCTTGTTTTCGCAGAGGATTCTGGTTGTAAGGCAAGTCCATGATTTCACAAACTTGTCCAATTATGACGGCTGCCCCCCTTTGCTATCAAAACGCTTCAAACCCTCAACCCCTGTAAAATGGCAGAGGCCCTTCTTGAGAGTTCCTCTCTTGGTCGCAGCTGATTGCAAAGATACCACGACATGTTCTTAGCATGGCGGAGCTCGCGCCGTGTGGCTGAACGGTTCTCGGGTCTGGGAAAGGCATCGCTGAGTTCAGACCTAGAGCTTTTGGCAGCAGACGTGCCAAGAACTTAGGGGTAACACGTCCTTCTTGGCAAGTGTGCAGCATCCGGTAACAGAGACTGAGCCACCCTGCAACCCGCCCAAGACAACATGTGAAGCTGCGCAGGGCTATGAGACAAGAGTGAGTTTACCTCTGAACATCTGTCCTTGCAAGCCCGCGCCTTCAGCGACAAGACTCATGCCAGAGAACCTGACATTTCAAGTCTCAAGCTCGAATTGAAGATAGTCTTTGAACATTTTGGTTTTGGAGGTGCAGCATCACCTCCAGCATGAGCGGGATTCAAATATCTTCAAGGGTACACCGCTTCTGGGGAGCCACACTGGGGTAATTAGCTGGAGTTGTGGAGAGGCAGATTTACTGAGATCCTCTCCATTACATTCAGAGAACTTGCGTGGGCCTCGCCGAGCCCAGTAACCGCGCGCAGGCAGCCTGTGGGCGTACGAGCACATCAGCGTCTCCAACAGCAGCGTCCACATCGTGAACTCTTCCGCGAGGAAGAATGGAGGCAAGAGGGCAAAGCTGCATTCAGGGTAGGGCACGTTGAGAACCATCAAGTCGAATCAGCTGACCACACAAGGGCTCTTGTTCTGGCAGAGGAATTGTTTTCGAAGCAGCATGACCTCAGGAACCTCCCAAGTGTAGCAGTCACCAGAGGATGTTGTCAGGTGGCATTTGCCCCCTCACATATCAAGAAACGTCCTTAGCATTTCTGACTCAAAGCCAGCGTCCTCTGGCAACAGGACTTGCGTGGATGGTTGGGTCCAGAAATCGGTTTGCAGTTTGCGGGGAGCCATCGTTGGGTTCTTATCTGGAGCTTATGGAGCTCGACCGGCTCTCACGTCCAGTGCTGACATATAGATTCCAAAGCGACACTGTCCCAGGCTCGAGCATCCTTCCGCCCGCCCACACCAGCGTCGATCCCAGCCCAGATGCCCAGAGTGATATGACTTTCGAAAGCCGTCCTCAACGTCAACACCTTGCTCCCCTCTGCCCCCCAAAACTCAGGTCGCAGAAACCGACACTGCATGCCTTGAATTGAAGATACTCTTGAGTAAATTCGGTCGTGGATCTGCACCGTCATAGTTCTGGGTTGCTTTGGTGCCAATCGTTCGAGTGTTGGGAAGGATGGGGAGCCACATTCGGAAAACGAGCTGGAGTTTTCGGAGAGCACCTTCACAGAAGTTCCCAAACCTGAAAGCTCAATAGGCTGCACTGATAAGAATCGGTGGGTGTCAGCTGCAACCTTTCTTCAGGACTCTAAAGATAGATCGGCTGCAGACATTACGGACACCCATACAGCATACTTGCCGCCCATGCACAACACATTCTCCAACGCTGTGATTGTGGGCTTGCCCCATCACCTCCACCCTGAGACCTTGATTCTTGGATCCAGCGTGGTCTGGGGTGTTGAGGTTCATTTTGCCGTCCTTGCAGGGCCAGGTCGACAACCAGCTGGAGTTTTTGGGAAGCAGATGTGCAGAGAGCCTTTCAAGGACGGTCAAAGACCTTACCAGAGCCTTAGGCAGCTTTTTCGATCTCGCTGCACGCACCAACCAGGCAGAACATGCTTGCAGCTGACGGCAATCTAAAACAGTGTGTGAGGATTCCTCCTGTAGAGTTGAAATCTATAGATGAAAAAGGACATTGCACTCACCCCCAAAACGCAGGCAGCAGCAAGGTTTGGAACGTTTGTGCTTCCAACACTCTGATAGAACTTGCTCGGGACTTCTCTGAGTCCAGAGCTGAACTCTGCATGCTGGTCCTGTGCTTGTGGAGGCGCCATGCGTGGAAAGGCTTTGGACATCTCGAAGACGACCATGAACGTCCGAAGGTCGTCTTCGCAAGTAGATGGAGGCACTCTCGGCTGCCCCTTTCTGCCGCATCATCTACCAGTCTGCTTCTTTGCTGCTCGAGCTTAATGCCTGGAGGGCTTTCTGCAGTTGAGTAGTGGGGTCCATGACTAACGCACGAGTCAAGTCATAACGCATGTTTCCAAAACAAAACAGAAGGTGATACCGCTCGAGATGAGTTGCACGTGTCTTCCAGAAAGTGCGGATACCTCACACGCTTGCAGGTGCCCTGTGGTTCAGCAAGAAGGTCAGCATTCTTGACTCCCAGATTGACATTTGTGATGCCGCTTCAGGTCGTAGCGGAGGCCCTGCGACCACACCATCACAAGGGCATGGGAACCTGTCTATGGCTATTAGCTCTTGCCTGGATTCTGAAGGGGTTGTGCTGGGACCATGCTTGCAATGATGCGGGCTGCGCATGAAAGATCAAGAGAAACCATTCATGACCACGCTCCAGGAGGTATCTACGCAGATGGCGGCCTCGACTTCTCGAACGGCACTCTTGAGCTTGAAAACTGCAGAGCTCAAATGGCGGGAGGTGCCCGGGTGTTCAGCGTCCTGCACCCTGAAGCTTCCCTAAAGCCACTTGAGGGCCTGGCCGCATAAATCCGGGGTCCTTGCAAAGGGCATCTTGCGTATTCTTGGGGTCCATCACCACAGGATCCTTCCACTTGAATTTCAGATGCACAACGAGCGGGAGACGGCTGTGGACGCCTTACCGGGGACAGAAGTGCGCGAAGTGGCGGGGGAGGAGAAGTGGAAGGGTGTGGGGGCCAGAGACAAGATGCACCTTCCTGTCTCAGGCTGGTGGGCGAGTCGAGCTTGGGTATACGTTTAGTACATGTGTCCCTAGCAGCCCATGCCAGGAGTCAGAGAGTGACAATCAAGAGCTTTGATGCAAAATTGTTTAACTTTTCTGGCAGCCCACGGAAGAGTGGATTGCGTGTTGGAAAAGGTCAGCCCGGCTGAAGTCACGTCAGGGCTGTTCTGGTAATTCGAACAGCGTGTCTTGGCAATCTTGAGTAGTTGCTGATAGGTCTTGATAAATCGAACAACCCTGCAGGAGGAATCTTCAGTGGCCACGACATCGCTTTATCGCTGAAGGCACTGACACTTCGTCAGTGCACAGTTGCCACTGGAGCAGGTGGTGCCGTGTACATAGCAGCTGGTGGCCTCACCGTTCGGGGGCCAACTGAAGTGAACGACTGCAATGCAAGTGGAGGAGGCGACATTGCCTTTGTTCAGGGGGACGTCACCATGGAGGAGGCGGACATCATTGGCTCCAGCCAGTCCCTATTCGCAAAGGGCCATGCGCAGATCGACAGCCTAACCTGTGCACGTGCCTCCTCAGCGTGCTATGCAACCGGGCATTCCGAGTTGGTGACGGCAGAGATCACATGCCCCCGTGGCACCGGATTCCACAAAGCAGGAGTCAAGGAAGGCTGTGGCCGGGCTGCACCTCAAATTTGTGTTTTTCACCAGTTCTAGGTTCTAGGGTTCGATGGGTGATGGATGAAATCTTGCATGGCCTAGGGCCCTCAGCCTCGAACAAGTCTACGGAGTCACAGGACTAGGGGTATAGTACAGGATTTCTTGCATCAACGGTATAAGGGATTTTCAATCTGGCGCCCATGAACTTGCACAGGCCTCACTGAGAGTGTAGGGGATCCACAGTTTCTGTCCCAAACCGAGGCCTCCCCTGCGAACCAGGCACGACCCGGCTGGTCGGAAACACCAGCGCCTGCCAACCCTGCCCCTTTGATCCCTGATTAGGACAGTTTCTTTATCATTCTACGAATCTGCATGCAAGCGTTTTGGTTCTAGCTAGAAAAGCCTGTTTGGATGTTGGGGGCCAACCTGGCTCTGGACATGGTGAAGAAGTACGCACTACAGGTGAGCTAATGTTAGAGTTTTTAAGCAGCTTTGATCGCCTTGGCCGCGAGCCAGGCCCTGCGATCCCTAACGCGGGTTGTGCCGCCGCAGAGTTGCAGATCCCCAGTGGCTACGTGGTGCCTGGCCTTGGTATGCGCGCGAATTCAAGGATTGCAGCAGGCAGATTGTACTTTTCATGTTGACATCAAAGAAATTATTCATATCAAAGCATTCCAAAGCGCAGCGCTGCCTATGCCAAATGCAGCGGCTCAGAAGGCCAGCTGCCGTTTCCATGTCTCAACGAGGTTGACGCGTCCAACATCACCAGCTGGTACTTCTGCCCGAACAGAGCCACATGCCTTGGAGCCACGCTGAAGGCGGGATGGGATGCTACATTGGAGTCCTGAAACTCATAATACGCCCTTTCGAAAGTATACAAGGCGTCTGGATATGTTCAAGCAGTACAGCACTCTCTCCAGAGCCGTGTTCAACTGTGGGATGTGTTCGTCCAAAACATACGAGCTTTCGGATTCAGTGTTCGGGATGGTCAGGGTTTGGGGACAGGGCTTGCAGCAAAGTGCCTAAACACAACAAGTCCATGTTTCAGCCCTCATCTGGCGAGTGAGGCAGGCAGAGTGCTGGAGGACGAAGGGTTTGGAAACCGCGACCCTCACACAATGAGCTATCATGTGTCTGGGGCTGTGGGAATGAGAGAAAGGTTGTGGTAGATCATGAGTGTGTAGGCATTTTGTTGGGATGATTTAGCCATCCCACATGCATCCCACAGGCCAGTGCCTTCTGCAACACGGCTTAGCGGAAGGTGATTCCATGGCCCTTGCATTGGCGACAAGCCTTGGCACATTTCTTTTCAAGATGTCTCCTGCCCTTGACCTTCCATACGCTGACGCATGAAGTCCTGGTAGGACGACGTAGAAGACCTGGGCTCCATGTGCCTGAAAGGCTACACAGGGCCAGGGCGCCTTGAAAGGGACAAACCTAGAAGGGGCTCCCATTCAAAGCTTCGGTAACAGGGTAGGTCTCAGTTGAGACCAGGATTGTGTTGTCGTTTCTGAGCTTGGTTTGGGTTGAGGTGTCCGCTTTGCAGCATCGGGCCAAGCTACGATTCCCAAGCACACAGTTATCTTTCCGAAGCGCTGCGGTCAGAGACTTCTAGAAAATCTCAGGTGCGTAAGATGCGATCAAGGCTTTGCCTACGCGGACGGCGCCCTGAAGTGCATCCGCTGCATGGAGGACGCGCGCCAGGCAGGGGACGGGGATTTCTCAAGATGAGGGTTCTTGAAGCTGCTCCTGGGGTCTCTTCCCGCGACGTTTTGTTGCTTTAATATCGACGGCTGGCTCATGCGTCTCAGCGGAAGCACACGATGCTGTCAGCACCCGCTTTGCCAGAAGGGGACGTCCTTCTGGTCACCAACATACCTCTTTGTTCGATGGTCAGCCTTGATTAGCGGTTCCCTTAAACACTCGAAGCCCTTCAAGTTGCGTCGAGTCACCCGCAAGGGGGACTCCGGATTCAAGCGAATGGCGGCAGCATGCTGGCAGGCCACCATGTTCATTGCCGCGAACATGGTCAAGGATACCGGCTTGTTCCTCTCTGCAGTTGCCACTGTCTGGAGCTTAGCGTTGGTACTTGCCCTTTAATCCTGAGACCCTACATTTTAAACCTGCAAGTACCAAACCCTCCAGACCTGCACACATCCTTTTTCAAACAAACCGCCTGAAACTCCAAGGTCACGGGCGCAAAAGGCAACCAGAAGGCGAGGGGTTGTTGCACTGCTCAATATAGAAAGTGAACTATCTGCAATATTCCTTGGTGCTCTCCATATAGCTCAAGTCTACTACCTTACTTGTTCCTCAAAACCTCATGCTGGCCGTGGCTGAAGATCTCCAACTTTAAGGTTTTACGTTACCCTTCTGAGTCAGGTGCTCTATGTCAAAGATCTTGATGCTTCTGGGGTTTTGAAGTTGAAGGTTGATTTGTGAGACACGCGTAGACATGTCCTTTTCATGAACAGGCCCTGCTTAGCCCCCGGGCCTGCATCCCGAATTCGCGGCAGCTAGAACTCTGAACCTGAAGCCTAAGCCTTAGTCCATCAACGCTGAACCCTGCAAGCCCTGAACTCATGACCATGAACCTGGAGTCTCCAACTCTAATCAAAACATTTAAATCCATGATTATTTAGCGGAAGTGCCATACCATAGCTTCTCATGTAGGGGGTACCATGACGTCGAACAAGTCTTTCTCACATCCACTTAAGAAGAAGACAGGTGAAGGCAAGCTCAGCTCTTCTAAACCAGCTGATGGCCTTTGCAGCTGTGGCATCCATCGCCATGCCACCTGGATTTCCAGTTGGTCATTTGTAGGCATCTGGAGATCCAAAACAACAGTTGGGATATTTAGTGGTTTGGGGGAAGCAGGAGCAACACCGTGCATCCACAATAGGCCCAGGATTGAGTACTTGCCATCTATCAGGATCCCTGCGCTGCCTTTCGTCCAAAACGAGCCCGTGTTAGAGGTGTACCTCAATTTTTAGAAGTTTTGATTTAATGATGTGATGAGTGCCAAGCCGAGCGCGGTACAGGTCGCCGAATTTGATCAGGCTCCAGATTTGTGTTCTTGTCAGACTGTACCATACCAACCCTAAACCTTTAGTCCTTGAACCCTAAACCCTACACATACAACCTTTTGGGGCCCGTAGGCCTGCTAGAGGCTCTGCGGAGATTCGATGCCATGCCTGAGGTCAGGAGCAATGCAGACCAGCTCCTACGCGTCGCTCAAGGAAAGCTGGCTGGATTACCTGGAGCTCCCGGTCACTAGGCATGCATTAAACAAAACATCATAGTAATGTTGGGCCCTCTTTAAT